AAAGTTGGTTGTGGCATTACTGCTTTGAAAGTTAAGAGAAAGGTGAGTTGCTAATCCCCCTTCCTTCTAGCTGAGGAACTATGTGTGGAAGCTAGGAAGACTGCATAATGGAAAACTCGGTGAGAGATGTTTACAAAAGCTAGGGCACAGAGGGGGTGAGAAGCAGTGTAGCTGGCAGAATGGCTCACAGCAATCACAGTATTTAGAAATAAAAGTGCAAGACATAAATAGGTATGTGGCAGTAGTATCGGAGGACCAAGAAATCTAGCTGATTAAGGTGCCACTAACAAAGGAAGGTAAATGTGAAAAAATATATCACAGGGCCTAAAGTTGGAAGTGTATGGAAAACAGAGAGAAAGAACAGGCAAGGAACGTGGTAAGAGTCAGGGTGGTTAAAGGAAGCATTAGAGTAAAGAGAAGCAACCACTCAATGAAAGGCCTGGAGAAACAGTATGTGGCAGAGGCATGGGCTTCAAATAAGAAATGACCAGCTGAGGCAAAATATCACAGGAAGGCTGTAAGCTACCCCATGATTGCAAGAAAAAGCATCTAGATAAAGAGAATTGTGTGTGGGCCAGGAAGCCAAGTGGCATAAGGTTACCTTGAGCAGCTCCAGCACCTTGAAGTGCTGTAGAGAAGAAAATTTCCTGTCAGGTATAAGCTTGTTCCACCTTCACCGTATTATATAAGATAGCGATGCATCTAGTGAAATTCTTGTCTTCTGTGTAACTATTAGAGGTACAGAGGCCCTGTCAGAATCAAAGCTTGGCAATCCCAAACGGAACATCGGGCCCTCAGATTAAGGGACATGTATTTCACAAATGGGTTTGAGCTAACCAGCCACTACGGAGGATGCAAAAATGAACAAACCCTGATCTGCTCCAGACTGGCTGCCCTCAGTGGAATGAATTATTAGGGCATCTGTTGTTGCAACACCAAAGTTTGCGTCTCCTTTTTCTACTGTGACATTAGCAATTTTGCCTTTAAAATTTGAAAAGGCCGAAATGCTGCCGCAGCAGGTGGTCAAAGTGAAGAGCCTAGCCCAGGTCTTAGTTAACCTCCCTCTCTGAAAGTACCTAAATAGGCTAGAATGGAAGCCGTTGATATTCCTTTTATCACTTCCTTTAGGTTTATGTTATTAATGAGAAAGTGCTTAGAGAACAGCCCTGAAGGTAGCAAAAAGAAGGTTCTCCCTTTGCCACATACTTTTTGGTGAGCTGGGTGAAATCACTTAATCTTTGTGACTTGTGATTCCTTTCCCTGTCTGTTCCTCTAGTAAGAGACTTCCTCTTATTGTCTGTGCTCAGAGTTTCACACAACAGTAAGTACAAAGGATGCTTTTAACACAAATGCATGCTAATCATCTTGAAAAAATCTTCTGACCTGAGAGTAGGGTGTTACATTTAACGGGACAACACAGATTAACAGTACAGATACTGTCTACAAACCCTCTTTCCAGTAGCTATTTCTAGTCAAACTGCAAACTCTAAGAAATACTTGAATCCTTCTGACCTTGCTACATCTAGGAACTACAGAAATGGTTAACAGCTCAGTGGATACATGTTATTCAGGAAACAGTTATAATCAGGCCCTTTCAGTCTGTTTGTAGGCTATATTTTGCAACAGAAATGGCTTGTTATCTAGATTTTCCTATATATTTCAGGGGCTTTCAGTACTATCCATCACTATAGCCTTCTGGAACAATTCAGAGAGTGAAGAACTGGCATCTCAGCTTTGCAGTAGTTGTACCACTCCTTCCTGGAGGGAAGACTCCAGAAGGTGTGTAGGAGACTGCTGTTCTACTCTGTAGGAATTATCCTCTGGCGTTCATTGGGGTCTGTTTATTATCAACACTTAAAACATCTACATGAAAGTTTTAGGAGCGGTAATCCATAGTTATGGAGTACAGTGTCATCAATATTTAAATTACACTGAACTTATTTTATATCTTCTCCAGGTGGGGCAATGTGCCTGAACTGGTACAGTGGATAAGAGTAAGTAAAGGTCTGGAAAAGGAAATAAACTCAACCCATACAAAATGGAAGTGATACCAGTAGGAGACATTTCACTGCTATTTTATTAAACATTTTTATGGCACTTCACCTTGCAATTGTGAACAATGGCTTCCACATTTCACAAATAAACTACATACACATTTTGCATTCATTTATAAAGCTGAAGGACTCTGACAATTTGGGTTAAAGAGCCTACTGATCAGTTGAGGTCCTCATTGAAGGCCCTTCCCTTGGTGCCTTTGTGAATAAAGACAGGAGCAGCCTTTTCTACAGTAGTGGGCCACTAGTGGCACTCTACTCTTGGAGATGTTCACGTGGTGACATCTTTGTTACTGTTTGGGTACCACAGTCTGTCCATGCTTTTTAATAGTTGAGGGGGTAGGGGAAGTTCTGGGCTTTCCAATGGTTTTTAAAAACTATTTTAGTTACTTGCCTGCAGTTTTTCTTTCTCATTTTACTGTTTAAGTGGTGACTTGTTGTTTTAGTGATTGGTACTACTGTGGTTATTGATTTAATAATGGTTTACTACTTGCACAAGCTGCTTTGAGTTCTCCTTTAGATAACACAGCATGTACAATTTATTAAATGTGCACAATTCTGAAGCTGTGTCAGCACCCGGGTCTGCCAAAGGTCATCCCTGAAGTTCAAGCAGCACTAAACTATGCAGTTCTTAAAAGCTATAGTTTTGTGCATTTCTAAATTTTAAATATTGTAAAACTCCATGGGGAAAGTCCAGATCTGATGTTTCTAATGTGAAATGAACATTATAACAAAGCAACAGCCATCTCTGTGTGTATTTACAATTCAGCTCTAGTTATTGATGAATAATGTACTTCAGAACAATGGAGGTGGTGGTGGGGAAGAGACTCTCATCCAAGTACTGGTGAGGTTTGAATGTCAAACAAGCAGGGGTGTGCACTGTTACAGTCCTTGCAAAGATCAGATTGTGTTTTGCAAAAGAAGAAACATTTTAAATGATCTGCTAAACTTTGGAATGTAAACAGCAGTTGGAAAGATCAATTCAAGACAGAAATTTAATTAAAATGTTAACTTATCAAAGTGAACAGAACCTGTGTTAATGATTCGTTTCCACATAGGGAAGATTTGACCCCAAATGACTGACTTGGGGACTTTGTATTGTAGCAACTCCTTCATCTCCATTGCAGTTATTTGTGCTAATATTATTCCTTGTCTAGCTATCTCTTTTTGTCCCACACTAATTGGGGTGCTGCAATGTCAGTTTAGCAAGTCTTCCCCATTCAAGCCCATCAGAGTTGGTGAAAAATTCTAAACCAGAGAAGCAGCTGCTATGACCAAGCCTTACAAATTATCTTTCATTCCGGGTGCAAACAAAACATTGTTCTACTAGGCCATGTGCCATTTTCATGGGAAACGTCATTAGGCCACAAACTTTGTATTTTCATGAAGCTCTAAAAATTTAGACCAACTGCCATTAAAGTTCGTTTCCCCATTCCATCTACTGAATGATATCCTTTTCTTCATTGCTAGCCTAGATATTATTCTGTCCAGGTTTCTATAACAGAGTTGCAGTTTTCCACTGCTGAATGACAAGGCATTTGACAATAACTGCCCAGATATTCATCTTCAATTGATTCCCCTGATTTTTTTTGGTTTTCTTTACCTACTCTCTTTCATCTTTCCTCCTCCTCCTTTTTTAAACATTCCTCTGTTCATCCCTTTCTTGTTCTTGTTTAGGACAAGGGAAGAAGGTAGGTTATGGGAGGAAAGAGATTGTTTGACAGAAAGCACTTTAAATTGTATTGTCAAAGTAGCAATAATTTTAGATTTAAATTTTTAAATGAGAAAGCGGCAATGAACTTAGACTACAGAAATATGGTGTAAAACACTTTTTGAGCATCTGACATAACTGCTGTGTCCTGCTGTTGCTATAGCCCCAGGTACTTTAGCATTTTGATTATGAAGGAAGAGAACTAGAGTTGCCCTGTCAGAATTTCAGAGGTCATAGATGCTTCACTAGATAGATAGGAAAATGTTACCATTCCTGTTACTGCCACAGCGTGGGACAGCCTCAGCAAAGAGAATGATACAGAAGCACCCCAAGGCTGAGAGACTAATTAGGAAACGCCAGATGTCGTCAAGGGCACAAATCTCCATACAAAGGGTATTGGGCATGTCAGTCATAATTATTTCAGTCAGTCCTTGGTTCAGCTTCATTCCTTAACAACACAGAATCTGTATTAGGCAATGTGTTTAAAATGAGTTCCCCAACAATTATTGTTTGCTATCAAGAGCTCTTCCATCATCCTGAAAATTTAATTGCAATTGAGAAAGTAACATTTTAATTATTGATCTGTTGGTAGTCCTACAATTCTTAGAAGGAGTTCACTGTATATCTGGCAAGTCTCAGTTCTTCTTAGTTCTAGAACACTGTAATGAGGACTTGTTTGTTTCAGTTCTGAACACTGTGCTTCAGTTCCTCATTCAAACAGATCAGTGCAGCTACTGGCCAAACTCATATCAAAAGCTGATGAGGACCCCATATGACTATGACTATAACAGCCACTGAAAAAATGCTGCAGGTTGTGGTGCTCTACAGGGGTAGGTGTCAGAACCCACAGCCAACAACAAAGTACACGCATCCAGGAACGGTTATACTTTTATTGCAGAGCTATAGATGCAGTAACATAGGCACTGTTAAGAATGGCGGCGGCCCCATGGGCATAATAGGATATAGGGTATTCGTATGCACCCCCCCCCAACAGCACTGGCCAATTAGGCACCCTCCCGCACGCGGGATAAGGCTTAGAGACAGATAGCTGAAGCTGAGAACGCACACTCTCCCACGACACCTAGGGAAATCCCAGACACTGCAACACCCTCCTGCACATCTGTATAGATAAGCATTTTGGTGCACAGCAGAGAAAGGACAGAAAGGAATGCAGTAGCAATTAGCCTGAAAGGAAAGCAATAGCAATTAACCAGATACAGACCAAACTCCCCAACCTTCATGGCAGCATAGCTGACAGTAGGTGGAGTACCACCCATAAAGGTGAGGTGTATGCTGTGGTGCTCCACAGGGCTGGGAATGTGGTACAGTGGATTTAACTCCTTAGGCTTACCAATGATACAAAATGCTTCCACTCATATGGCTGCTGCTGTTGCCACCAGGTGACTCACATGAAAAACCTAACACAAACACCATACTGCAGCAAAGACTGCTCTCTTGTGGACAAGCTTTTTATTGGGCTCCAGCTGAGCTAAGTAACATCTGAATATCCTTGACTTCATAGCAGTCTTGGTTACATTTCTACAGTCCCTCATAAATGGGAGAGTTGTGGATTCTGTTGGAGAAAAGCTCTCTAGCTGTGCTATCAAAAGGATAGCATAATATGATAGCAACCACCAATGTCAATCTTTGGGAGCAAGACAAAAGGGGGAATAAATAACCAAACATATCTAGCTAAAGAATTTTTTTTTACTTTCTTCTGTTGTACAAATTTTTTTTTCGGAATTGCAACTCAAATGAACACATCAAAAAGTTGAGGGGAAAAGGAGGAAGAGAAGGAAGACACCATGGGCCAAAGTCTGAGTCATCAAGTATGTTTTCCTCCAGCATATGCTAAAGTTGATAAGTCCAGCTTAGTCTTTAATGCATCTGAAAGTTCCTTTGTCAGTAGTTCATGAAGGGAAACTCCATCATGAGAATATACCCAGTTTTCCCCAGTCCAGTCATAACGCTTGGGGCCACTGTGAAATCATAAACAAAAACAGAATAAGCTTAAAATTCAAACTATGATGATAAAATGTATAAACTGAAAACTGATCTTGCTAAAATGAGATTAGGCCAGGAAATGACAACACAAATGGCAGGAAATCTGGAAAAATCTTGATTCTGTGGTCAGACTTCAAGAGTGTAAGAATTTCTTAATTCTCATTAACACAAACAGGACTTTCACCATGCCTTGTCATGACTGGGCTTATTGTACATTATTGAGGAGGAAAAGAATATAAGTGAGTGCTTCTGCAGTAATGCGTGAAAAGGACTGGATTTTGCATCTCTGCTACGGGGAGTGGACATGTGGTGATAAGAGCATGACTCTCCTGGTGTAAGATATGCACTACATCCTATCTCCCCACATTATGGCAGAAATACCCATTGGAATCACTGATCTCAGGAAGGCATAAAAAGAGATTGGAGACTGGTGATATGGCCTGAATAAATCAACATCCAGCCTTACTGCACATGTAGGTTTGCTGCCCCTATCACCACGGAACAGTCATGGTTCAGACTTAACCAAGCATGATCAGTGAGCTGAGATGATTCTTAGGTTCCCATGCTAGGGTTGCCAGGTGTGGGTTGGAAAATACCTGGAGACTTTGGGGGTGGATCCTGGACAGGGTGGGGTTTGGTGAGGGACCTCAATGTGGTACAATGCCACAGAGTCCACCCTTCAAAGCAGCCATTTTCTCCAGGGGAGCTGATCTCTGTCAGCTGGAGATCAGTTGAAAAAGCGGGAGATCTCCAGTCCCCACCTGGAGGCTGGCAACCCTATCCCATGCTGCCTTCTTCTGTCCATTCCATACACATCGTATTTTGTTTTCTTTTTATTACAACTGAACCATACAGCAGAACTTACTGTTTTACCTACCAATCAGGATTCAAAACCAGGATTACCAGAGTGCTGAATCCTGTTTTATGAGAAAGGTAGCAAATGTGTGCAGTGGAAGTCATTAGTTAGATCACCACTCACAAGAATGCGGGGAACATGTGAACCCAAGAAGCTCCTTGCTCATTCATGTAGCCGCAAACCATGGCTTTTCATTGTCTGAACAATGCCATTTTCTTCCAGCCATTACAAGGTAAAAACCTTGTGTAATTAGTGGCTATGATTTACTAAACATATACATAGTTTGCAGGATCACATTTTACCCTTCCTGAGAAGGAAAAATTGTTATGTGAATCACTTTAGGTCAACAATTAATCACTCTCTTATAAAAAGCTCATTTAATATATATCTCCACAACAGGAAAAACAGATACCCAAACAACCACCCCAAAATGTCTGTCTGAATCAGTGTTTATGGACACAGAGATTTCTTTTCTTTAGGACTGTCACAGAACACTTGAATATATTAAAATATATCCAGTGATTTCAGTGGGCATATCAGATGTAACCCAAGCATTACAGCTCTTTCCCTTCATTTTTCAGTTCTGGAAAGTCTGACTGGACCTACTGGCCAAGACTGCTCTGAAACTTGTCAGAAAATAGGAATATGCACAGAAATTTTATTTGGGTAGCTTTCACTTTGTTTTATTCTTTAGTAGTGTTACATGTTTCCTTCATTATACTAATTTGGATTCTTTATTCTTTTGTTTGTTTCCATTTATTTCAAACAGGAAGCACATTTCTGTCTATGTTCTTTGTTTTCCATCCACCTGTCGCTTCCCAAACATTTGCACATGGCACATTTATTCCTGAGACCAACGCCTAATGTTCTCCACTGCAGGCTTATCCACATGGTCACTCTGAACATACGTATTGTCACTGTCAGATCTTGTGGAACGGCCATCCAAGTACATCAGGAAGCCACACACTTTGTTGATATTTAGAAACCATGTAAAGTGGAATTGAACAGAATGTCTTTTATAGAAGATGACTGGCCTTTTCTACAGTTTATCATGACTGAATTATTCTTATAGTTTTCAACATTGTTTTAACATGCCTTCAATACATTTATCAGAGAAATGTCTTAAACTAGGGGTTTCCAACAAGGCACATACTTGCTTCTGCAGAGAAGCTCATGCAGCCACTAGAAGATCCAGGGAAAGACTGCGAAGAGATCTGCACTAGGCTTTTCCTTTTTGAAAAAGGGTTTTATTTCATAGGGTTTTCTCTGTGTGACACTTAGTTAACAGCTTCTTTTCCGGTGCTCTTCCTAGTCCATGTTCTTTCCAGAACAGAATAAAACTTGAGAGCTTGCCAGGGAGAAGTAGCAGTTCAAGGTATTTTTCATTACTCCGAAGCAGCTCTCATTAAAGAAAAGATTGGCAATCCCTGTCTTAAAACATATAAATAAGAGACTGTACCTCTTGACCAAGAGTTTCCCCGGCCAGGTATCAGGCAAACAGAGTAAGGATCTACATTTTATAGGTAATTATAATTCTTACTGGCACACAAAAGTATGAACTTAAGTGAGTTCTGTCTTCTGACCCAAGATTCTCAAACAGGGACCATGTGGGTATAGGTTTATTTCTTTTAAACAGCATTTAAGCTCTCTCACGTGTTTTGTATTCAGTCACCCAGTTATACCCATCATGTGCAGTAAGTAATAAAAATATGGTTTATGGAAAGCAAATAGCTTTAAAAGGGGATTACACGGATTCATGGAGAATAGGCCTATTAGTGGCTATTAGCCATGGTGACTGAGGGGAGCCTTCACATTTAGAGGCACTAAACCTCTGAATCCCAGTGCCATGAGACAACATCAAGGGAAGATTTCAGCCTCTATGCCCTGTTGTTGGCCCTCCAGAGGAACTGGTAGGCCACTGTGTGAGACAGGATGCTGGACTAGATGCAGGTCTGATCCAGCAGGGCTCTTCTTATGTTCTTAAACAGCTTAAAGGAAGGAAGTTAATATCTATTAAAATGTTGGAGTTGGTTCTTCAATATTTACAGATCAGACTGTTTATATATATTTAATATGTTGCATATGTTGTAGAGTAAAAGATGTAGCACCATGACATTTCTGTGCATTATTTTTGCTGGTGTTAGAAGAGCAAGCATGTAGCCACACTATGGCTGCAGTGCTCTCTCTGCTGGCCGAAACCCCCCACTGCAGGATGAGTCTTGTTTATCCTGGTATTCTGCAACAAGGACAGCACTGTAGCAGGTGCAATTTGACCCTTTTGTTTTGTTCATTGGTGGCCTGATTTTCACGGTGCTTGGCTTGTATTATCCCCTAATGTTTGCTCATTCTATTGACTGGGAGTGAAATATTCTGAGAACTGGGTAGTCAGTTCCTGTAACATTAGAGATTAAAATGCTTCCATTTTCCATAGACTCAATGCTACTCTAGGAATAATATCTTCTTATCATAACAGGAAAATCATACTGGTAGTTCAGAGGAGCACATGGAGAAAAATGAGGGCTTAAAAGATTTTACCAACATAAGTCAACTAATGACATTGTTACACAGTTAAAGCTAAACAAATGTCAGCCTGGCCATGGTGTGGATGGAAGACCACCTGCAAGCTACTCTTAAGATTCCCAAAGGATTGTCATAAATGAAAAGCCTATAAAACGGAGCTAAAGTGCAGTTCAGTTCAGGTGTGAATGTTCAGACTGGCCTTGCCAACAAATCTCTGCTTACCTGGTTGGAGAGGACAGCCATATCTGTTTGTTTGGAGTCTGTTTGTTGATCACATATGTTCCCACGTTTCCACCAAATTTAACTGTTAGCACTCCAATCTAAAAATAAAAAATAAGCACATTTCTGGTTTGAAGCACAAGTCCAATAATTTAGTCTGCAGCAAAGAACTTTCACATAAAGCTGGGTTTTCTAGTGGCATAAAATAAATTATCAAGTTCATTTGAAGTTAAGCCTGCTGGAGCTCAGTGTATTAAATTATATCTGCTGCCAAAATGGAGTTTCAATAATAGGACCATAGGCACAATTTGTAAATTCGCTTTCTTGTACATGACAGCAGTTGACTGCCGGTTGTAAAGTAAAAATAGATTAGCCATTTGTTTTCATATTGAATTTTGATTATTTGTTACTTTATATTCCACTTTTCTTACTGAGACTCTAGGAGTTTTACTTAATTTTAAAACAATGCAATAAACACAATGGAAGATATAATGGTATAAGACTCAAATACAAAATCAGAAAATAATGCAATAAAAAGTGTAAGATGCCATTCCATAAACAATGCAAAAACTAGATTACAAAAATTAGAAAACAGTGCTGAAGAGTCAAAATCTCAACAATGAAGCCATGTGCACATCTGAATGGCACCATGTTCATACAATGGATTCTCTGAAAATCAACTTTACTATTTGCTTCCAGTTATGACTTAGGAATCATCTATGAGCGCTGTGTAATTTGATCTCAACAGTCAATTACTATACTGACTCGCTTTGGAACAGAAGAGGTAATCCAAAGCAGGGCTTCAGAGAACCCCTTCATACCACCCAGACCCAACCCAAACATCATATGAAAATCCCACTATTAATTGGACTATATGAACCCTCCAGCCCACAACTTTGATCCAAAGTTTTATTTTAATGATCCTGACTTGTCCAGGGCATATTTCAAGAAAAATGTAGATGGTTTTCAAATTTGTGTCTTAAACTTACTCCTTCAGTGCTCTGATGAAATGCCCAGTTATTAAATTTTATCTCAGAAATGTTCTATCTTAATACCTTGATATTTGCTTGAGTTTGCATATGTAAGTTACACAGCATTGTCCAAGGGAAAGTTTGTTTACCTATCCTTTCCAACAGCATCTAAATTTATATTTTTTGTGTTTCCCACAAGGCCAACTCAGTCCCAAAATTTAGAAGCTGGGACAGAAATCTAAAAGAAACTAAGATATGTCAGAGAGAGAGAGAGGCTGTAGGCTAGATTGGGCCTTCAGGATCTCCCTATTTTCCATATATCCGCTCTGCTCCAGTCAGACTGTACCCATGAAGTCCATCATGGGTGGGCTTAGGTAGACACCAGCCGACCAATGAACTGCCAGAGGGCCCACTCATCCTTAGGGTTATGGTATCTGGTACTGACCCGTCTGCAACCCATGAGAGCACAAGAAGGCCCTGGGGGAGCCTCCATATGTGACAAAACACCCATGGTCCTGTCTGGCCCCACTGGCTATGCCTTCTAAGCCAGCTGCAGCCATCCTGCAATCAGCACCACTCTTTACCTCCAAGCCCCTCACACATTTCACAGGAGCCATTTTAAATACTGTTTCCTGAAAAGCTGGCTGCCAAGCTTCAGCATAATACAGGGAAGAGCACTGCAGAATCAAGAGGCTCACATTTTAAAAGCCCCACCTTCCCTCTTCTAGCCAAGCCGGGAGGGCATGGAGGAGGGATGGCACTCCTGTGGAGGATCTGCATAGTTTGGATTGGACACTTTGTTGTTGCTTAATACTCACCAGTTGCAAAAGGGTCACCTATAGACAATGATAATGATGTTATTGCAAGGGAGGGGGAGACTTTCTCCCTTCTTATGAACAAAGCCAGTTTGTTTTTTTAAAGTTATCTCATCTCTCTCAGACCACTTCGAGTTTTACCGTAGCCCTTTAAACAAACTAGGAAACAGAGTGAGAGTGGGGCAGAGTGACTTGTCCTGCGCAGCAATTGGCCAATGCAAACAGAAGCAGGTTCAGGTAGAGGACTTCTTCAGTTTCTGTCTTGAGCTGTGAGAGAGGAAATGGGAACCTGGAAAGCTGCTGATGGGGGGGGGGGATGGGTCATTTATGTTAGCTTGTCCAAAAATGAAGCACCCCCCTCCTCCTCTGCCTTCCCCCTCTGCCCTGAGGCTTTGAAATTAAGGGTGTTTTTTTAAATAGCTATCTGAGAATCCCAAACAAAGATGGGGATATATTGGAATGAAAGTCAAAGCGGCCAAACAACTTCAAGCAGACTGATTCCCAGTAGACAGGAAGAAGTTTCTTGACCTGCAAAGAGTTAAGTGGCTGTTTCCTAATTCTTCACACCCCTATTCAGTCCATGTCACAGTAGTTATCACACCCATAGCTGGGTTTCCCCCCATTAGCCAAGTACCCTGGCACCTGTATGATGTATTTTCCTCACTACAGGTTTGCAAGCAAGACTCCGCTTCCCATTTTACATATGAGATGCTGCAGCAGCGCATCTGTCATCTGCCAGGGCCTGCCCATGGGCCCACTGGAAGAAGAAGAGAAGAGCTGTAGAAGGGACTCTCCCTGTACCTGCACCTGACGCAGGAGCATCCAGCCACTTGCTTTCTCCAGCACTAGACAGGCTGCAGCGAGTCCTGCACATGTGAGTGTGTTTCCAGCACACGGCTGAATCAGCTTGCCTCATGCAACAGGCAGGGCTTGGACTGTACTCTCTTCTTGAGTCCTCCAGCAAGGTAGGTAGGAGGCAAGCTTCAGGGCTAAATATTTCTGGGGGGGTGAAGACCCTTCCTGCCTCCCTCTCCTCTCCCCAGCTTTCCCCTCGAGGTCTGTACACAGCATTTTGCTGCTGTGTGCTTGAGAGGAAGCACATGACATGTATTTGCTGCTGTTTCTGGAGCCTCAGCTTCACTGAGATGTACTAAAAGGAAGGACAGGATTGCCCATTGGGAACAGCGGAGAGGCTTGAAGGCCTACTGTATATAATGAGAGCCACTGGCATAGGTTTCACTGAAATACATTACAGCAAGAAAAAGTTGCAATGAAAATGCAGAATGGATTTAAAATAATGGTCTCTGAGCCCAGATAGACTGCTCTGGGACTGGAATGACAGCCCCTAGAGTGGCATGATGGCCCCTGAGAGTAACAGAACCGTTCTGGGTCTGGAATGACAGCCCCCAGAGTGGAATGATGGTCCCTTGCAATAGAATCAGTGCTGTTATTCTAGGCTCAGAACACTTCTACTACTCCCAGGGAACATCGTTCCACTCTGAGGCCTGTCATTCCAGATCAGGAATTCAGGTATCTCTGTCTGACAGTAGAAAGCTGACACAGAGATGACATGACTCAGTGCCACTTGGTGAAGCTCCAAGATTTGTACACAAAAAAGTCTGAAATTGACACACTGTACTTCTTGGAATTACCAAAACCTGAGATTCTGAGGTAATTTTAAATTGCATATCTATGATCAAATCATGAGAAATTTACAGTTCAAAATATAGCTGTGACTTTTAGTCCTAATAAATTCAGCATTTTCCTATTGCTTCTGTTTAATTTTTTTAATGAACTAACATGGCCCATGAAATCTAATTTTTACATTCTAAGAGTGAACAAAACACCATGCAAGCACATTCTTTTCCACATCGTAACAAAACACTGGCCAGTAATTAGCAGCCTTTGCACTGGTTTACCTACAGCACGTCCTATATTGGAACTGAAAAGTGAGAACCGCTTGATGATAGTGTTAGACCATAGTGATAGTCCATACCTTTAAGACTATATTTTTAAAAAAATTAAATTTAGGCTCACTGTGTAACCTTGACTGAGTCACTATAGCTTTTTCTAACCTACCTCTCAGGGTTCTTTTGAGATAATTATTTGTTTACTTGATTTATATCCTGTCTTTTTTCCCAACAGGGAAGTGGGAAAGGGGGCCCAGTTATACCCAAGGCCTACAAAAACCTGAAACTGGTCCTCCCACTGAATATAGATGCAGACACGTCTCAGCTGCAGTTTGCAAAGAATGCTACATGTCTTGAGCTGAAATTTTGGAGAGGAGTGTGTGTGACATAGGTGGGTGGAGCCTCTACCACACTTGACTCCCCCATGAATATGTCCCCAAAATGTACTATGTGGCCTATAGGCAGCTGGCCCTTCTCTCAGAAATGTTCTGACTAAGTGCAACTCTGGGGGGAAAGGCAGTTTATAACAATTAGAGGTTGGACTAGATGACCTGCAAGGTCCCTTCCAACTCTAACATTCTATGATTCTATGTCCTTCTTCACCCAAAGAGTGATGAACACATGGAATTCACAGCCACAGGAGGTGGTGGCGGCTACAAGCATGGACGGCTTCAGGAGGGAATTAGATAAACATATGGAGCAGAGGTCCATCAGTGGCTATTAGCCACAAGTTATAGATAGGAACTCTCAGTCTGGGGCGTGTGATGCTCTGTATTCTTGGTGCTTGGGGGGGGGCAACAGTGGGAGGGTTTCTAGTGTCCTGGCCCCACTGCTGGACCTCCTGATGGCACCTGGTATTTTTGGCCACTGTGTGACAGAGTGTTGGACTGGATGGGCACTGGCCTGATCCAACATTGGCTTCTCTTATGTTCTTATGACTGTGATAACCCCAATTTCACCCTCACCAAAAGGAAGATAAAAATCTATAAAGTCAACTGTAAAAGCAAAGCAAAATTTACCCCAAAGGAGACATCATAATCTTCAGGAATAAAATGCTTGTCTGTCAAATCCTCAAAGAAATCCATTAATGACTCCAGTGTTTCTTCAGCAAGTTTTTCATAGGTAGTTTCATCTAATAAGCTGTGTCATGTAAAGACAATTAATTAGCATCCATTCAGAGATTCTCCTATGAAAACGCTTTAAGACCAGTGCTAAACTATCAGTGCAATTCTAAAGACACTTTTCTGGGCGTAAGCTCCATTGAGTAGATTGGGGGGGGGGAGAGTCTTAGACATATAATAACATTAATTTAAATGTATGAAACTTCCCACTTATGTATGAAGCTGAGACTTAACATTACAGAAAATCTCAACACATTCCAAGAGGCAAGAAAAAGAGTTTTTGTAATCATTTGGGAAGACATCTGGTTTAAATTGTGAAGTTCCTTAAATTCTTAATTCTGGCAATATTTCCACAACAAAGTATTCTGGGTAACTTCCACTCATTTCAGTAGGGATTGAACAGCAGTGTTGTGGTTAGAAAAGAGGGCACTACCATACAGACAGATGTATACAGGAAGTCCACTGATGTCCACGCCTTCTTAGCTGGCAACAGTTTCCACCCCTACCATTTCAAAAAGAATCTAACATATTTGCAGCTTCTGAGACTTAGAAGGAATTGTAGTTTAGAATCTGATTTTAATAAACAGGCTCAAATAGTAATGAAGCAACTCTCAGACAGGGATTATTCTGCCAAGATTCTTAAACAGATTTTTTACAGGGCCAAAAATACTACCAGATCATCTCTTTTAACTCGCAAAAACGAAAAAACAGAAAACTGATAGGATGGTGATAACTTTCACAAATAATAAAACATATTCTCTAGTCAGATATATAATTTCAGACATCTTATTATGGTTGAGCATCTATTAGTACCCTTTCTAGTTCATTATTTTTCCCTGTGGGGAGTTTAAATATTTATTTACTTACATTAATAAGTAGGCTGTAAGAGGCTGTTCTGATAAATAAGTTATCTTGAGGAATCTGTAGCCTACAGCCTGCCACCCACCCACCTTCCCATCATAAATACAACCAGTTGAACATGTTCTCTTCCACAGTTCTAATGGGAAAGAATGCAATTCAAGCTGGGAAAACCAGTAGCATTGCTGTAGAATTATGGGTAAACTCACTGCACACTGCAGAAGTTTAACATAAATGCCATGCACATTAAAACACACACCTGCATCATTATTCATGTAATTCTGTAGTAATTTTAGAAACTAGGACCCTGTCCAACATCCACAGTCGCAAGTTTTTTTGGATGGCAAAATACAGTGTTTGTTGAGGAAGCCAGATGCTAATTTTATGTTTATGTTTGAGAAATCCCAAAGTTACCAGTGATATAAATTACAAGTTTTAAATACAACTTACCTCTTGTCATTGATCATCCCTACACTTCTTAAACATATCAGCTGAACTCTCTTGGTTTTGACCATCAGAACATGGTCTGCAGAATGATGGTGAGAATCCTGTAAACAGGTAAAGAATGCCACAATACATTTGCCGGCTTTGTAGAAAGGTGGTATTCAGTAGAAGGCCAGATTAAAGGGCCATCAAGAGAGCCAGTGTGGTTTGCTGGTTAAGGGTACTGGATTTTCTCAGTGTTGAGGTCAAGGCAATTCAAATCCATGGCAAAACAGCATCCACATAACCCGGAGCAACAGCAGGCTGAAACTAGGCTGACCACTGAAGGGAGATAATGTAATGCAGAACAGGGGGAAAACCCAGAATAAAAAGAAGGTTGAACTCGATTTTAGTGCAGAATGGGGGAAAACCTGGATTAAAAAGAAGGTTGAATTTGATTTTAGTGCAGAATTGCATGGAGGATACCACAGTGAACATGGATTAAAAGGAGACTGCAGAAAGGGCCTATGATCTGTAAGCCCTAGGTTTGAATCCCCACTCAGCCATGGAAGCTTGCTGGGTGACCTTGGGCCAGTCACACACTCTCAGCCTCATCTATTGCACAGGGTTGTTGGTTATTGTGAGAATAAAACAGAGGAAGGGAAGAATGGTCATGTTGGGCTACCATTGGTGAAACAAACACGGTATAACTTGCTAAACTGAATAAGTAACTATATAAGCCCTTCACAAGTTATAGAAATATGACGTTGTCCTAGAGGGAAGGAGTAAGCCCTTTGACCACTATTCTTATTACTTTAAAATGCCTACACAAAATACAGTACAAGTAAAAAAAACCCCGGTCAAATTGGAACTGACTTTTCCTTGAAAGTGCTTCCCTAGTTCATGCATTGCTTTTACATAGCCCGTTACACTGCCTTAGACCGAAACGCCATTGTGCAAGTTGCCCGTGGACGTACTAAATAGCGCTTGTGACGTGTAACAAGCAGTATTTTCTCGGCCCCTCCTTCCATGCATTAATGCTCATGTCAGAATGAATCGATAGTTGCAAACTCCAGTCTGACCTCCCTTCCAGGGCTCCAGAGCCTAACATTTGGCGAACGTTTCCTGTTGACCAGCCAGCAACATAATTAGAGAGCGATGATATATGCGTACAAGGACAACCCGCTGGGAGGCGGCTCTTCAGACCCCTTTATCCAGGTGGATAGAGAGACTGCTTGTTCTGCTTCGGCGGAGATACAACCTTTTGCCGCGTCGCGTCTAGAAGCACATTCCGTGGCAGCAGGGACCCCCTTTCTCCCTCCCAAAGAAGGCGCTCGAGCCTGCCATTCTGCACGACCTGACCACTCACCGGCCGACTGTGAAGGATGGAAGAAGCCGCTATGGTTCCTCTCAGGGGCCACGCTGCCTCCTTCCGCCACCCAAGGCCCTGGCTCAAACTGCGGACTGCAACACGCGCGGCAGCGGAAAAAACACAGGCAGTGCCGGGCCTCCACATGCTACACACCGAGGCCCGCAGGAAGGCCCAGTCTCCTGTAGCAACGCCTGCTTGTTAACAGCCGAGAAAGGAGAAGGCCCAGCTAAGGCAAGCTGCTGCCCCCTCGTGGTGTCACAGAGCACGTGCAGCGGGATCATCGCTTCTGTGTGATTTCTAAAACTAGAAGCCTCTCTGAGCTCAAACACACCTGTTAGCGTTGCCCTTTGTCCCCGAGACCTTGCTTTCTGATGCTAGACAGGTAACTACTGCATAATGAAACCCCCTACAATGGAATTCCACTTTTTAAATAAACTTTAGCAGCTACAAAACAAATTCAGCAGGTGAAGCTTTCCCAACATAGAATGCAGTAATGGGGGAAAGTTGAACTTCTGACTGTTGTAGGGTTGTCAGCTCGGACATCATAAGCGAGAGGTCATTCTGGCTCCCCCAGCTCTTGGGAGGGGCTCTTTTAAAAGTTATGGCCGCCGTCGCTGTTCTCCGCCACAGCTGCAAAGTCTGCGGAGGGAGGGGAGGGGCGAAACGTTCCCTTGCCTCCCTGAGTCTCGCGCAGTGTGCGTCACCGGTTCAGTTTTCAGCCAAAGATCCAAATTGCACCCTGCTAAGATCCCTCTAGGAGCTGCAGTGGCTCAAGTGGTTAAGACGCTGAACTGCAGGCTGTGGAAGGGCAGTAGTTCAGCAGTTCAAGACCCGAGTTGCCGCATGACGGAGTGAGCTCCCGTCTCTAGTTCCAGCTCCTGCCAACCTAGCAGTTCAAAAGCAAGAAATTGCAAGTAGATAAATAGGTACCACTTCGGTGGGAAGGTAAAAGCGTTCCGTGAGCCTTGGTGTTTAGTCATGCCGGCTACATGACCACGGAAACGTCTTCGGACAGCGCTGGCTCTTCGGCTTTTAAACGGAGATGAGCACCGCAACCCTAGAGTCGAACTCGTCTGGCGTTCGAGCAAGGGAACCTTTACCTTTACCTTTTAAATATCCCACTGCAGTAAACCACACTCACACAGTTCTTGTGGTTAACTATGTACAGTGATTTATTTCCAATATATACAGCTCTCTCCGTCAAAGTGCTCCGCCATACACTCATACAAATAGAAGGGATACAATGTACAGACTACATACACTTATATACACTGACCAGCCAATCAGGTTGTCGTATCCCCTCCATTGTTCTCTATGGTGGGGGAAAAAGTAACTTTGCCCCCCACCATAGAGAACAATGCTCCCTGCCTTTTTTAGGCTCTGCGCCGGAGCGCTGGGCCTGAAAAATGGCCTGCAGAGCCCCTCCCTTCCTTTTTCAGGCTCCGCACTAGAATGCCAGCCTGAAAAAGGGCCAGCCGAATGTCAGTTTCGGCCCCATTATATCCTATGGGCCATTGAACTCAATGGTGAAAACATAGGGTATATTCTGGGGGCTGGAGGGGAGGGGGTTTGAGGGAAAGGCTCCAAACTCACAGGGTCGCTGCTAGAGCCACTCCCCAAGACACCAACCAAGTTTGAAGAACGTTGGACCAGGGGGACCAATTCTACGGGCCCCCAAACAGGTTGCCCCTATCCCCTCCATTGTTCTCTATGGTGGGGAAAAAGTAACTTTTCCCCTCGAGCCCCGTCCCCCAGCAGCCCTCATACCAGAGCACCTGGAGCAGTCTTGGGAGGTGGACTGGCAAAAAGCAAAACCAAAAGTGCAGGAACTCGAGAGAACTCCAGGAATGGAGCCAGTTCCTCTTCCACAGCCCCAAATGCGACCCACAAACCCTGAGCTTGCTTTTTCTCATTTGTGAGTCTGGCCTCCACACTCCTTTAACGAGGCAGCCCTGAAGCTTGGGGCGGCGGGAGTTTCTTTGCACGCAGCTTGTGCGGCTGGCTGAGTGCCTCTTCTGCTTTTCCACCTCTCGCCT